TTATTTTCGTTAAATCGATTCGGTCTATACGACGACTAATGGCAGCGAGCCGGTGTATTAAGGTTCGGTGGTTTGATCCAATAGAAATGTAGGAAGTCCGAAGCCACGGGATTAAAAGTTTTTCTCAGGGGCAAGTTGACGTAGAAGGCAGTAAAGCTCAGAGGGCCTTAGTGGTTCTCAACCCTACCCGCAAGAAAAAAAGGACTGGCTCCATGCTTTGGATCTTATCCTGTGTGGTAACTGCGTCACGGTTGTATCAGCTGCTATACCTTCTCACCTAAGCGAAAATTTGAAATGACAGAATGAGGTGGCAATGACGATTTTCATTGCTTTTTCCGAACAAAGCTCATTCTTGTAGATTCAGGTGGAGGGGATAGATTTATCAGTTTAGGATTCAGTGGTGGCCCTCTTTCACAAGTAGTAGCTCTGCTACGGACGCTAGAACTCTGAAACATGGGAAGACGCATGGGCATTGGTAACTTTCCACTGGAGGCATGAAAGTATTTACGTTCTAGTTGTCATGCTCCAACGAGGTACTGCGCAAACAGTAGAGGGCGTGTATGTGGGCGGGTTTGTAGTTACGGTTGTGATATGAGTATGGGTTAAAGAACGCATCTGATGGGAACGCCCTGTGAAATCCTGGGATAGTTAACAGACAGAAGCAGTGGGTGGGGAGTAGGATGTGAGCATGCGCGAAGAAGTGGGAGATTTTAGCTTAAGCGGGTCTGACAAGAAGCAGTGACGGCTTGGTGCATCGTGCGTATCATCAAGATCAGCGCTGCCGGGGAAAGACAAGTGTCGCACTGCAGAGAATTATTTGGCGCAAAAAGGGTTCGTGAGACCGTTTGGTGGCTGGTGTGTAACGATGGAACATTCATCGCAAAGTTTCTGAAGGAAATGGTGTCTGCTGAATTTTCGATGTCCTTCGCAGAAGAAGGTAGTTAGGGCTCAGATGGATCAGTTGATGAGCGCTTAGCAGAAGTGCGCGGCGCGTTCTCACTGTTGGAAAGGGCGGGACGTGATGTTGTTTACCGCAAACCGCAAGCTCTCAAATAAGCAAGATGTTTGGGATTTGACAAGGTTTTGTTTGGAAGGGCTCAGGGCGACTCAGTTAGAGTTGATCTTCGAATTGGAATAGACTAAAATGCGTAGCGCATCCCGAAAGGAGCTGATCAACGCCGGCTGCCTCACCTTTTTGGCGCCCATGTCCTTGGGGAAAGGTACATTTGAAGCAAGGCCATTGGGACTGAGCCCAGGAGAGGGGAAACGTTAGAGAGAACCAAATTTGCTTGAGTCGTTGCTCAGAATCCCTTTCCCGGCCCAGTAGTTAGTTCCAAGTACTGTACCTCTCACTTATTTGAATGTCCCCACCCCTCAACGCCAGTGGATTGGGCAATTTTACGTTACTCATTGTCACACCAGGCAATTGAATGCTGCGCTGAAGGATGTAGAAGTAGGATTTGTGAAGCTACCATACTATTCTGCCATCAACGGCCTATAGGACTGGGGTAGCTCTCCGACTCAAATTTTGCTGTGGTGTGGAGTAAGTTCGCCAAATTTCTGCCACTCAACTCTCCTCGGGTTAGCCCTTTCTTGTCCTTCACGAATGGGAAATAACGATGCCAGTAAAGGCGGGGTCGACAAGTCGCTAACATAAATATTACATAGACCGCGCAAACGGTTGCATGAAGCGAATGAGATTCCAATTGGCTGTTTGTCCCACATGAGATGCGAATAGGTGGTGCATCCGAGAATTTTCGATTAGAAACCGTCACTTCTTCCACTACTTCTGCTGAATCTCACCTCGCAATTTTTTAGCTCTCAAAAGCTTAGGAAAACTGGAAGTCAAAATTTCATGAAAAAAGTTCGTGGAATAAATCAATGGCCGCAATCGGAAGTCCATTGAGTCAGAAACGTCATAGAGATAGGAAAATTTCCTTGACGTCATTGGCTTTGAGCGGGGAAACGAACGGTCTGTGACGTTGCAGATCACAAAAGATTGCCGACGATGATAATCAATGATAGAAGGTGAAGGTTCGAGTCGCAGAAACGCCATGAAGCTACGTCCGCGATGGGGATGACGGCTGCGGCGGCTGACGAACCAGCTCAGAACGTCAACCCCGGTTTCGGCTTTGCGCCAAGAGATCGTTTGTCACCGCTCGCCGACCGATCATATCGCGTCAACGATGAGATGGCTTTCCTCTCCGGTTTTACCGCGCCGACCTGGTACGCCAGGTCATGATCTGAGCGATAAGTGGCGTTGAGGCACGCTCCGACGAAGAAAGGTATGGGAAAACTTAAGAGGAATGTGGCCTTTTTCGGGACACCACGCCTGTTTGGGGATTCAATAAACGGTTTTTCACTCTCACATTGACACAAACACTATAGCTTAGCGACATCGGGAAGAGGTTGAATGGTGTTGTGGCATTGCGTGCCGCTATCAGTTAATTACTAGCAGAACGCACTGCCAAGTTTAGCATAGAATTATTGCAAATTATCGTATATAGACCAAACGTGTATACAGGTGAGGATGGTTCTGGATGGAGTTGGAGTCCAAGGTTACCATAAAGGCAAGATTCGGGCTCAGACCCACCTAAGAAGCCCTCACCATGGCTAGAGTGCTGGTTACGCAAGTACAAGGGTAGCGCCACCTTTCTGTATCGAAACGCGCCGCTAAAACCTTAGGCGCCATGGACTTCTAACGGACTTTACCAAACTTAACATGGCCCGCCCCCGTTCGATATCTTGTCTGCGTCGCCACGTTGATCTGCAATGCTCTCTCTTCCTGGACTTCTCTACCACCCTTCGCGCTCACATTATCTCTCATCTCCCTGCCTGTCTTTTGAACATCTTTACAGTATGGAGCAAAATGCTTATACTTCCTGTGTTGAGGATTTTCTTTCCTTTTTTCTCCACTGGCGGTCCACCTCCCACCCCTACTTTCACATTTGAGTGGAATCACCCCATCAATTTAATCCTGATTCTTGCCTTTCAGGCAATGGTCTGGATTAGTTGACCAAACCAACTCTTTCGGTCATGCCTGTACTTGGTTACGCACCCGTAGAGATGTTCCACTCCCCCTTATCGGCTTTTCGGGATGCTCAACGCTTTTAGTGCTATTTCCATTTCGAGATGTTATTTCGAAGTCGATTCGGTTATACGACGACTAAGGCAGCGAGCGAGTGTTATAGTCGGTGTTTTATCCAGATAGAAATGGAGAGTCCAAAGCCTATTAAGTGTGTTCAATGGGCAAGCATGCATAAGGCAGTAAATCTCACGTTCAGAAGGGCTTATGGGTTTCTCACCGAAAGATGGTCCATTTTGATTTTTGTTCCTGTGTGTAACTGCGTTCACGTAAGCCTTGCTTATACCTCTCACCTGAGCGAAATGATTGAAATGACGGATGAGGTGTGACAATGACCGTTTCCGTTGTTTTCTTCGAACAAAAGCTATCTGGTAATGTCAGGTGGAAGGGGTTAGATAAGTTTTATGATCAGTGCTGGCCCGAGTTTCACAAGATAGTATTCTGCTCCACGGAGACGCTAGAACTTGATACATGTGAAGACTCTGGTCATTGGTAACTTTTCCTGAGAAGTGCATGAAAGTACTTTTTATGTCTCTCATCATTATCGCAAACAGTAGACCTTTGTGCGTTGTGTTCTGTGATAAATGTTAAAATATGTAACTTGTGAAATTCTGAGGTGTAAACAATGTAATGTGATTATGGCGAGAGTGATTTTATACGTATACAAGTAGGAGCAATGACGGCTGTCATGTGTATTTCAAGCAGCGCTGGAAAACATTTCGATTTATGGCTTCGGACCTTGTAGCTGGGTGATATGACGATGGAACATTCAGAACGCTGAAAGTTTTCTGATTTTCATTCCTTCAGAAAGTTAGTAAATCATTTCGCATGATCACATTAATTTTGTTAACTCGGGATTTCCAGTTCCATGATTGTTAAGCTTTATCACTGAACAAACGTGCATAGAGGTTCTACTGTATTGCGAGATGATGTGAAGGGAGAATAAGAAGGTCTTTCATGGCCACTCCCAGTGAAGTTACCATGACTATGAGTCTCACATGTTTTCAGAGTTCTAGGCACCAGTCTCCGTAGCAGAGATATGATGTGTGAAGTGGCCACATTGCATCTAACTGATCTAACCCTTCACCTGATTACAGGATGAGCTTTGTTTGGAAGAAGAGCAATGGATTCGGGTCCTTGCAACATATTCTGTCATTTTCAAGTCTTCGCTATGTGAGAATAGCAGATGTAGTGAGCGTTACAACACAGGACAAAAGATCAGATGAGCAGTCTTTCCCCCGGTTGAGGAAGCATAAGCCTCTGAAGTGAGATTTTACTGCTTTGTTGCTTACTTCCTGAGAACGACTTTATGGTGCTGTTGGACTTCTAATTTCTATCTGGATAAAGAACCGAATTATATCACCGGCTCGCTGACCAGTTAGTCGTCGGTAGTAGACGAATCGATTCGAAATACATCTGTGCGGAAATGGAATAGACTAAAATGCGTAGGATCCCGAAGGAGACTGATCCGAGCCGGCTGGCCTCACTTTTTTGGTCGCTCATGTCCTTGGGGTGACTGAAAGTGCATTTAAGGCAGGCTTTGAAACCGCGTATGAGGGACACTGGAATTGTTTTTCTCTACGTTTCCCTTACTGGACTGGGCCCAGGATGAGGGGAATACGTTTATGAGAGAACCCAATTTGTCGAGTCACCCGTGCTCGAACCTTTCTCCATGCCCGAGTACGATTGTTCCGGTACGTAGCTCTCACTTTTTATGAATGTCCTGCCTCACGCAGTGGAATTGGGCAATTTTTACGTTATAACTCATTGTAACAGGCATTGAATGCTGGTGAGGATTTAAGATAGATTTGCGAGTACCAATTATTTTTTGCATAAGGGCCTATAAGGATGGGTGTGCTCCGCTCAATGTTGCTGTGGTGTGGAGAGACTTCGCAATTTCTGCACTCAACTCTCCTCGGGTTTGCGCACTTTCTTGTCCTTTCCGATTATGGGAAAATAACGATGCCAGTAAGGCGCTGGGCGTCGACAAGGCTGTACCATTAATTTAATAGACGCGGCAAGGTTGGCATGAGACGATGAGATTCAATTGGCTGTTTGTGTCCACTTTGAGGATGCCAAGGATGGCGGCATCCGAAATTTCGCGATTAGAAATCCTTCAATTCATTCCACTATTCTGGCTGAATCTCACCCTCGCCAATTTTTTAGCTCTTTTGTAGCTTCTTTTTTAGTTTTTTTAGCTCTCTCTCTTTTTTTAGCTTTAGAAAAGTGGACAGTCAAATTTCATGGAAAAAAGTTGTGGATATAAATTTCAATGGGCCGCAATACGGAAGTCCATTGAATCGAACGTCCAGAGATAGGAGAATTTCCTTGACCGTGCATTTTGACTTTGAGCGGTGGATACCCGACGGTCTGTGACGTGAGATCACAAAGATTTGCGACGTGATAAATCATGATGAAGGTGGAGTGTGTGTGTGTGCAGAACGCATGAGCTACGTCGCGATGGGGATGACTGCTGCGGCGGCTGACGAACGATGTCAGAACAGTACCCGGTTTCGGCTTTGCCAAGTAGATCGGTTTGTCCGCTCGCGACGATATGCGGGTTACAATCCGATGAGACGCTTTTTCTTACGGTTTACGCGGCCGATCTGGTACGCACGGTCATTGGGTCTGAGCATGAAGTGGCGATTGAGGCACGTCCACGAGAAAGGTATTGGGAAAATTTAAGAGATGTGGCTTTTTCGGGACACACGCTGTTTGGGAATTCAATAAACGGTTTTCACTCTCACTTGAACAACCGTATAGTTAGCCGCTGGGAAGGGATTGAATGGTTGTTGTGGCATTGCGTTGCCGTATCAGTTTTCGATAGCATAACGCACTGCCAAGTTTAGATGAATTATTGAAATTAGGGAGGATATAGCAAACGTGTTTAGGTGAGGATGTTATGGATGGAGTTGAGAGTCCAGGTTACCATAAGGCAGATTCTGGGCTCGACCCACCTAAGAAGCACTCCATGATAGGTGCTGAGACGAAAGTACGAAGGGTTGCGCCCTTCTGTATTTAACGCGGCCGCTAAATTAGGCGCTATGACTTCTAACGGACTTTACCAATTTAAATGCCGCCACGTTCGATTCTTGTCTGCTGCTACTGTGATCTGCATGCTCTCTTTCCTGGACTTCTTACATTCTATTTTTGCGCTCAATTTAGCTCTCATTCCCTGCCGGTTTTGAAGACTTGTACGCATGGAGAAAATGCTTATATTCCTGTGTTATTTGAGGATTTCTTTCTTTTTCTCTTTTTCCCTGTTTTTTTGTCTGGCGGTCACTCCACCCCTACTTTCACAGGTTTGGATTGATTCACCCCATCAATTTTAATTGTTTCTTGCCTTTAGAAGCATATGGTGTGGATTAGTTGGACCAACAACTTCTTTCGGTCGTCTGTATTGGTACGGCCTCGTAGAGGTGTTCCCCACTCAACCCCCCGAACGGGCGCAGATAAGTCCCCAGGGCAGTACTATGCGCTATTGCCGCTCGCCCGCCCGTACACCGCATTGGGATGTGGTGCATGGATGGATAACGTGTTGAATCGCTAGGGTTGATTGCCGTATCAACGATAGAACGCTGGATATCTTTCAGAAAGTTGTTGTACGTGGTCTGTCACCCAGAGAAACTCCTTCATTGCAAGTGGGGAAAGAGGGTGGTTACGGCTTGTCGGCGGCCCTGCAGTTTTTTTCACTGTTCCTTCGAGCCTTCGCATTCTATTCTCAGTTTCAATCGCCATGATACCCCTTATTTTGAGCCCGAGTATTTGTTTTTAAGATTAGTAATGCTTGGCCGAGAAATATATAAAGCTCTGAGGACCATCAAATTATTCTCAAAGAGGTACAAAGTAGTCCACAGTGTTTACAGTCGGAGGGGCCTCTGTATTGCTGCCCAGAGCGAGTTTATATGTGAATCAGCCTGCCAGTCTAAGGCGAAGACGAATCATTGGCGTTCCTGTTCCACTATGTCGAAAATGGGGAAACGAAGGGAAGGAAATAGATAGACATAATCGAGACTGCGACGAGATATGAGAGAAAGGTGAGAAATCAGAAGGGAACGCATGGAAAAGGATAAGGTGGGTGCTAGAGATATGTGAATGCCGTTTAAATGTCCTTACAAGAACATAGGAGGCGAAAACCTTATTTTGGATGCCAGAAATAATACAAGTCCTAGCGCACTTGTCCCCTAAGCGATTGTGCTACAATTACCTACAGTTTAGATTAGTGTCCCGCCTTGGGCGGAACTTTTGTTCATAACTCAGCATTCTTGAGGAACTTTCCACTTCTCAATGTTACAAACTCAGAGTGTTGGGTATGCGTTCCAAATGCCAGATTCAAATATTACTGCAAAACTTATGGTAGGCACATTTCCCTTCAGGAAGGCGACGTTCCTCAAAGCATTTCCACGCTCCATAGAATGGAATCTTGCCAACCCAAGTGAATTCTTCGGTTCTGCGGATTTTAGGGTCAATTTCGGTCTGGGTTCAATTTTAGGCCAGTTCCAACCCTTTACGCTTGAGTGGTGCAGTGGTAAGCACAGCCGCTTACCAGGTACACGATCCTGAATTGGAATCCTAGGTCTTACGGCGTTCAGGCCAATCAAGCATCCCGTTCCTACTAGGTAAGTTATTAGTGCAAGATCAATCTATCAAGCGGAAATCATTGCGACTCTGAATGGAAGCAAAATGCGTGGCGTATCCCAGAGATTTATTAGCGTTGCATGTTCCATTACGTTACCTTTACGAGACATACATATATGAACGATCAAACTTAGGTTCAATCGGTTTGCGTGGGTCAAAACGGGCTTTATACATATTTCATGCACTTTTGAAAACTAGCACAACCTATGGTGTTGTGGTTTCTGCAGAGCATGTTTTCCTATGCTTTACTTTTTAAAACAAGAATGCTCGCGTTGTTTGCAAATGGCCAAAGAATGAAGGTCACTGGCGAAAACAAAGCTAGCTAGCTAGTTGGCTGACCGTTGGCCTTGTCACAATCTCACCTCTTTTCTCACTCAGTGCTGGGGCCAGACCAAAGGACATGTGCTGACAGGGCTGTCTGAGAAGTTGTAATAGCCGCAAATTCCACAGGAAAAAATAGAGTCACCATATGAAAAAACTGACACCCTGCTTTCACAGCCTACAAAAATCGGCAGCTGCAATTCACTACGACATGGCAGGATCAGCATGAAATATGGAATGATGACGAAATCTAGGGGTCTAGCGACAGATTAGTTTTCGAGTGCTTTTTTCTCAACCATATTTCACCTGCGAAGCCAGTTTCTTTGTTGAATGTACCACTGAATGCCGACAAGTGATTTCTTTCAGGACATGGAGCGCTTTTTCAAAATGGTTTTCCGCATGTTCTAGAGGCTCATATAAGGAACACAAACCCACCGTCTATTTCTCATGAACTCCCCTAGAAATGTACAAAACAGCGGGTAAGATATGGTCCAAAGTTCGATCCCCCGTAAAGACAATTTTTTCCAATTTGTATTGGCACCTCCAAACTGCCGACAAAACACGACAGTGACATCTATTCTCAACGATGGCACCATTTGGAGGTATTCTGGGGGGCGCCATACTGCCTTGCAAAAATCAGTCATCACCCGGGATCTAACTCTGGAGCACTCATTCACTTCTGTTTTGACATTCCTGGAGGCGTTAAGGAAAAATGGACGACGTCTGTATTCCTCACTTGAGCCCCTACAACGTGCAGGAAACCATTTCGAAAAAGCGCTCATGTTTGAAAAGACCTCCCTCGTGAGCTACGAGAAGATGTCCCAAGTCCGCCTGCAAAGCGTTTTGCTTTTAGGGAGGATTCCACGATAAACTCGGATGTCGAAAGAGGGTCAGTGCCACCTAGTGGAAGAGAAGCTGGTCCCCTCAGAGCTGCGACGATATGCGTCCAGCCAGCGAAGAGTATGCCCCATGCGATCTGACCATACTTGCGCGCCGTTGCCGCCCTTCTCTGTCGTCTGAAGAGCGACTTGGCACTGTTAAAAGGGAGCGGCGATCCGCCCATGTTATATCTCGCAGGATCGACTCCTGCCCATATTTATGCCTATAATTCGGTTGAACATAAATGTGTGTGTCGTTAACACAAGCTTGCCGATAAAAAACCATTCACGTCAAGATTTCAGAACAGTAGTTGAAGAAAAAGAGCGCGTGGCTGATTTCGTTAAAGAAAAATGCATTCACTGTCACAAAAGAAGAGAGACCATCGATCAGGCATGGCCATTTATATCTCAAGCTACCCTGATAAAATATAGACATTGGCGAAGTGTGGTGGATGTTTGGCCAAAACCACAGCTGACCTCTCCGGAAACGGCCTAATTATTAGGTTGAGCAAGGATTGATGCGCCGTTTTATTTTCACTCATAAATTTACCAACAAAACAAACAAAAACAACAATAAATGCGTAACCAACAACACACTCGAACAGAAAGGATAATCACATGATGTCTTGGTCGAGAAAAGAGGGATGAGTCGGCTCTTGTGTGTTTTATGAGCTGTTAG